TAAGTAAAATAAAAAATACATTAAAATTTTAAGTGAATAGATTTTCAAAAGGAGAAGATTACAGATGGTTTTATGTTCCTGGTTTGTTGAATAATATAAAAGCTATATCAGTTCCTACAAAACTCTGTTAATTTACCTAATAGAAGAATGCAACACTAATTATTATACTAATAAATAGTTAGTTCTCGACTTACAACCACAACTGAGTCCAAAATTTCTGTTGCTAAGTGAGACATTCGTTACGTGAGTTGTATTTTTTATTTTTTTTAAACAAAGTTTTTATTTTTTACAAAAAACATACGAACAAAATTACGTGCGTTTTATTATGACCTTTCTTGCCACAGTTGTTAAGTGAATCACTTCAATTGATAAGTTAGTAACCTGGTTACTAAGTGAACCTTGCTTCCCCATTGACTTTACTTTTCAGAAAGCCCCCAAATGTGATCACATGACCTTGGGACACAGCAATGGTCATAAGCAGGAACCAGGTGCCAAGCATCTGAAATTTGATCACATGATCATGGGCAGTGGTGGTATTCAGCCGGTTTGCACCGCTTCGGACAAACTGGTAGCAAGGATTTGGTGTGGGTCACCAAACCGGTAGTAACTTCTGGCTGGCCACACCCCTGCCCCAATCACTGGTCATTCGCTCACCCCGCCTGCCTGACGCTGACCCCGCCCAGTCACTCCTTAAGGTATTTCTTTTTTTTCCCCTCCCGACAATCATCTGTTCCTATGATCAGCTGTGCTGATTCCCCTCGCTTACTTACTGCTTCACCCAGGAGGCTTGTCCAAGGCCCAGAAGGCCCAAAAAATGGGGAAGGGCTGCAAAAAAAAGCCACATCCACCCAGTCACATGGCCACACCCACCCAGCCATGCCCACCAAGCCACACCCACAGAACCAGTAGTAAACTTTTTTGAAGCCCACCACTGATCATGGGGATGGTGCAAAGGTTATAATGTGAGAAACAGTCATAACTTGTTTTTTTAATTGCCCTGGCAATTTTGAAAGGTCGCTAAATGAACTACTGGACTACCTGTATTTTGCTATTCATTGAAAGATTTTTATACAATTATTTCAGTTTTTTATCACTGTTTAAGACAATAGGCAAATCAAGTTATAAAAGACAATAAATTGAAGCAACAAAGAGCTAAGTATGATGTACTATTCTGATTTGTAAATATAGTTAGCAGTATTTTAAGTTAATTCTAGGACATAATTAAACTTACCAAATATTAGCTTCTTCATGGTACAAAACCATGACCCAGAAAACCACATGTATATACTTTTCATATCACTGGAACACTCAAAACTGATTTGTTTAATAGTTATTACTGATATATGAAATATTCTATAATTCTATACAGAATATTCTATAATTTATAAAATGTAATAAAACAAATAAAACACTTCGTTTATTCTTTAATGAAGATTTGACTGTTCCTACCAAGCAAAGACAATTGTCAGAACAGAAAAGAAATTCAGCTATCCGGTTCTTTGCCTTACTGAAATAAATCGTTCTATCTGGTGTTTTATTTCACCTGTTACAGCAGAAGCTTAATGATATTTTCCATCCATTTTGTTTCTCTTGGCTTGTGTTCAATACTTTTCTTTCATTGTTATTAGTAGGAGTGCATGTTACAAGCCATTTATACTATTTATACAACGTTATTGATGACTGTAGTAGAAACATTTTTAAAAGGAGGATTCTTCCAAACTGTAAATTGATCAAAGGTTTTAAAGTGCCACCTGCTGGGTAGGGCATAGAAATTATTTGATTGATCAAAGAAAATCTTATTTCTTGCCATCTACTATAAGTAGATTTCATACATCAATATGATATAAGCTCACCTTCTGTTTCTAAGATTTCCTGTTAAATTTGGGTTTAGAAAATGAACAAGTAAATTTACCAAAGTGTGATCGCCCAGGTATATACGACCATCTGGCCATCCTACTCTCCCAGCCTTATTTAGGTATTTGCTCATATCATTGGTCACTCTAATTAAATAGAAGCCATAGCAGCACATCTAGCTCCAATGCCACATTCTTATCCCTGCTCCAAACATCCTCGTACTCTGAAATGGGTTTCTTGTGAGGGAGGGGACAATACACATAGATACTGCTCTAAAGGAATGCCCAGCAGTTCAGTATTTGGGGGCTGTCCTTCTCTTAGTTTATCAAATAATGCATATGTGCTCAAATAGTGCTCCTACCATCTTCAAATGCATTTTCTCCATATCACTCTCTCCTTGTTCTCCTGAAGGAAGTATAGGGTGGAGTTTGTCTCAATGATGTGCTAAATCACATACAGATATCAGGCACTTTGAAACTTTAAGGAAATCTCCATGCAGGTTCTTTAGATGTGTTCCTTTCATTTATTTCTAATCACCATTTACTATTGAGAGCAGAAGAAAACAATAGACAAACTATTTCTTCCTGTTTATTCATTTCCCAAAATTTCTTCCCAGCAATTCTCTGTGTGTGTGTGTGTGTTTGTGTAAAAGAGAAAGAGAGAGAGAGGGAGCAAACACAGGGGTATAAAGTCATTGCAGTTTCTTCCAGTTCTGGTAATCACTGCAGCTCCTGCAGAATTTACTGGAACCAATATAACTAATTAATGTAGAGTCATGTATATGAGATGAGTGGCCTACAGTACTGTATACTGTATACATACATACTGTGTAAATATATTAATTAACTAAATAAATAAATGAAGATTTCTGCCTCACTTATCCCATATGTTGTATTATTAGAAGAATTACTATGCAATATATTATAATTCATTATTTCAAGTCTTCTTGTGACTTCTTTCAAAAGCTAAATGTATTCTCCTGGTTACTCAATTTCTATTCCACAAGATTTTTGTTTTTAATTATTATGCACCTATGCAATGCACAGATAGAGAGTTGCATTATCTATTGTAATTAGAAATAATGCACCTGAGGGCATTTCCTTCCTGCTCTGCCAGTAAATCTGAACATCATATTACATTTAGTCATACAGCTCTTAAAACCAATTATCACCTATCAGCTGCTTCACATTATCTATTACCTTCATTACTCTCAGAAATATTAAGAAACTTCTGATGCATGCATGTGTCTTCACTCTTATAGAACCTCAGTTATTAGCCTCTCATCTTTGGTACATGATTGTACCCTATGAAATCAATCACTGTTTACTCCAAAGATAGTGCCACTTTTACAAAGTTCATATACTGTATGCACAAAAGAAACCATATTCATCTTATATATGTTTAGTACATATGAATTTCAAACAAAATAGTAAATAATTTTTGCTTAACAGAAATCCAGGATTAAATTTAAACAGCTACTGTCTCATATGGTTTTCAGAAAACACAAACATATATAGAATATATTTTGGAATGTAATAAGGTGCCACATCTTTGTTGTTTTTTTAAATATTGAGTGTAATGCAAACATCCTCCAAATAAGAAATTTCACGTACAATTAATATTTCATTGTACATTGTATAAGAATACTTTTGCCTGAAGGCAAAATTATCAAAGCGTGTGACTTTCCTTTTAAAATCTAGGAATAGTAATAAAGCCTGTGATCATTGTTATCATTAAAGACTTTACTGATAAATCAGAAAAATTGTAGCTCATAACTGCTTTTTTTTTTAAAAAAGTATATGTTCTTTATCACAATCTTATGCATGTTTAAATGAAAGGAAATCCTAATGGATCTAAATAAAATTAATCCTTGGTGTGGTTAGGACTGGAGAGTTATTTGCATGATGAATGTGATATATCTCAAATTATCACTTACTCTAATGGATATTAAAGGCTAAAGTGGGAACAGAATGGAGGACAAAATAGACTTCCGGCTTTTCTAGTACAGCTCTTTCCATGTTACACCCTTATACATATCATGCAATCCTCCATGACCTGGCTGCCTTCCAGCTGTATGCATTTTAACTCCCAGAATTTCTCAGCCAGTTCCATCATTCCACAGGTGAACATTTTGGAAAGGGGCCTAGTTGTGGGATGACTACTCTTATAGCCAATATACTGCCAAATACAGATTAAAATGCTAAACAATTAGATACGCCAGGATTTTAGTCTCATCAAGTGATTATAATATACATGATTATTTTCATATATTGTCCCATAGCATTCTTTCCTCAATCATATAGTTATTAAAAAGAATGAGAAAAAATGTTTTTAAAAGTTGGAAACTCTAGATCTGAATCTCCATTTCTATCTCTGCCTACCCCATGCTTACATACAGTTTTCCCCATCTTTCAACATTTTTCACCAAATCATGATTTTAATAGGACAGAAGTAGAAATGATTAAATATATTGTAAGTAGTTATATTGATTGTGTAATGACAGTGCAGCATTTTTGTATCTGAGGTTCTTCAGAGTACCGTGTTTCTCCAACAATACGGCCTCCACCAATAGGAAGGCCCAGCATGTTTTATCAGCATAAAATCAAATTAAGCCCCTCCCCGAATGAGATGGAGTTGCAAGAAACACATGCTCATCAATAATAACCAAAATAACATTTAAAAAGTCCAATTAGGATGTATAATTAGTATTTGCACAGTTACCAGATTATAATGACATTTGATTGAAAATTATTACAACAGAAATATTCAAACCTTTCCTATCAATTCATGGAGACTGTTACAATGTATTTCTTTATTTCCTAAATCAGGTTTCACACTGATGGTACTGTCTCTAAAGAAGCCATTTCAAATCTCTAAATAAGGTATAATAATGTATCTATAGCAAACCAAACCAAATTGTAATTTCCATTTGTTGTGTAATCTTGTATATGTATGCGTATGTGTGTTTGTGTGTGTTTCAATATCTCTGAGCACAAAAGGACGTGTTTTTTTAAAAAAGCAGTTTCAGTATATGCAATGTATTTTGTGCAGCCTGAATTACAACAAATTCACAATATTCGATGCCAATATTCATATGCACACCACTTTAAACCTACTGAACCAGTGTAAAAAACAGAAAATCTTACCATTATCTTCAACTGAAAAATAGAAGATATCACTCGTAGCATTTTCACGTTCTTTCAAGGCATAACATATCTTCATGTCATCGATATCAGCTGATGGAATGAGAAAAGTTACACAAGTCACCACAATGCTGACCTCAAAATCTTTTCAATACAGATTAAATTTACCCCTTTTGCTTTTGTTTGTTTCGAACCAGCATATATTTATGTATGTATCCTACACAACATATTAATATCTGAAAAGGTTTAATATTTCCCCCTTTGTCATCTGGAGTACCAAATCTAATGCCCTTCAGATGAACCCAAGCTATTCAGGTGCTCAGACTTCAATGTCCAGAAAGAGATTATGATTATGTTTTATCAGCATAAAATGCAAAGCATCTGGTTGGAGAAAACTGGTTTAAATGATTGTGAGTCACTTGTTTTCATTTAGAACCTATAGCTAGGTGTACACATAGTACCATTAGAGTATATAGAACAAACCATAGTAGTTCACTCATTATGCTAAGCCATAAAACATTTACAAATCTTAGTATAAAGAACAAACAAGTCTCATTAAATCTTCATGTGTGAATCCAAGCTATTAATTACTATATGCTCAGAGCACCTAGAATGAAATATAAAACTGATAGATTGTGCTGGTTGTAATCACTGAATAATACCACAATAATCAATGGAATGACATCACAGCAAAATTGTTTTCTTATTCCATTGGGTAATACATAAGTGTTTATATATCTGCTAATATATAACAAAATTTTAGAATGTTGAGAATTTGTAAAAGTTAAATATTTTACACTGCCAAACATCTGAGAATGCTCATATAATAACCCATATAAATCTATGGCAATTTTAAAATGTATTTGTGTTCCTAGTGCAAAGCCACTTGACCTACAATGGACTGAGCTCTTACTGATGGATATAAGCCATTATGGGGTAGGAAATGCTTTTGGCTAGACAGGATTATGAATCCAGCTAATTTTGAACCTGGCAACAAACCAAGTTAAATAATGGATTGGATAGGTATGAGCCTATAAAAGATTAATTTTTGTGTAGATGTTGATCTGTAAATATGATTTTAAAACAAATTCAAACAGATTTCATTGTTTTAGAAACATCAACTTTCTAAAAAAATTCAATAAATAAAACTAGTGATTACATAGTACTAACCTTGGGAAAAGGATTTGACACTTGCATTTCCTAGACCAATATTAATGAGAAATCCATGTTTTGGCCCATCTGTGATCTTATATTTCAATAATTTGTGTGGACTATCTCTGTCTTCTGCTTTCAGAGACTTGCTAGTTATTAGGAAGCCCAGATGTCCAGTTGCTATATTTCTCAGTGTGGAGACACCCTTGTTCACTACTATTTGTGGTATTCCATTGTCTAAAGCATTGATCTGAATTTTCATCATCTGTGGGATACGTGTTTCAAGGATGGTATCAGGAAAAACATAAAAATCTGGATGTGTCCCATCTGTTATAGTGAAAGAGAAGCTATCCTGATTAGTTTCCGTGCCATCATGTTTGTAGCTGATCATATTTTCATTTAAGTCTTGTTTAGTGAAGCTCGTGACAGAATAGCTGTTGTTATAAATAATTTGACCATGTACAGGGACTTGGGTAATTATGAAACGGAGCAGATGATCAGGTGTATCCCGATCATCCACATTTAGCTCAAATGGTGTGATCAGTCTGGTTTCCCCTTCTTGAACTGTGAGGTCATGTAATGTGAGAACTGGCTTCTTATTGTCCACATCAGTAATAGAAACTCTAAAAGTACGGAAGACTGGATTATAGCCATCAGTCACTTCAAACTCAAAGCTATCCATCTTCACCTCATCATCTGCAGTGTGGATGTAATAAATCTTGTTGCCAGCTAGTTGAAGCTGAGTGAAGGTAGTGACAAGAACTCCAGGGTTGTCAGAATTCTCTAAATGACCTCTGCTTGGTGCCCGTGTGATGCTGAACCTAAGTAGTTCATCAGGACTGTTGATATCACTTGTACTGAGGAGATCTGTAGTGAGAGTCACTTTACCACCTTCTTTCAGAGTGACTCCTTTATTGATCACTTCAGGAAACACCATATCAATGCCGTTGATAGTAATGTAAAAATATCTGTCTATCAAGGGATTGATGCCATCAGTGACATCAAACTTAAATAAGTCATGGAGTCCCTGTTGGCCCATATGTGTATAACATATAGATTTATGATCTATGTCATCCTGTGTGAAATTCATGCCAAGTGTAATGTTATATAGCACCTCTTTTTCATTACTTATATGCTGTAATAAGCCATGCCTGGGGGATAAACGAATAATGTAAGTAAGCATCCTGTCTTCTGAGTCTATGTCAGTGGCTTTGAGATCTTGACTGGTGATAACTTTACATTCCCCAACATCTACTTCTAAGCCATCATTGATGGACATCCGGGGTGTTTCATCATCAACCAAAATAACCATTATTAATACTTCTTCTTCCACTGTGTGTAGACCATCAGTAAGTTGGATTTTGAAAGAGTCCTCTTTAGTTTCTGAGTCATCATGCTCATATATAATGCTAGATGCTTCCTGAATTTCTTCTAGAGTGAAATTGGTAACAGACACAGTACCGGTAGCCAGCTGGTTAACAATCTGCCCATGCTTTGGAGGAACAGTTATAAAGAAGTGCAATTTATCTGGGGGAATATCGCCATCAGCACCATTGAGAATGGGTGTATCAATTACCAAACTCATTCCTTCCAACACCACAAACTCACGTACAAACAATTCGGGCTTCTCATCATTAGTTGGGATAATGATAATTGGAAAGAACTGAGGTGGTGAAAAGTTGATACCATCAGAACACTGGAAAGTAAACCTGTCTTCTAAAGGTTCTATCCCCTTATGGATGCTCTGAACATAATTGATATGACCAACACGAATATCTTTGATGGAAAATGCACTGATGGGAATCCCAGCTCTGGATTTTTCAGATCCTGGTGCTGGAGAGATATTTTCTAGGTATCCAGCAGTTGACTGTGTTAGAATGGTACAGAGAACATCATCTCTGGGAGTATCAATATCTTCCACATCCAGCAGTTCTAACCTTAGCACATTCTTTCCTCCTTCATGAACAGTGAATGGTTCTTCTCCCAACATAACTTCAGGAGCAATGTTGTCCACTGGCAAAAGAGTTACAGTCACACGCACTCCTTCTATTGTGCTTCCTCTCACCACCCACTCACTGGACCGATCAGAGATAGTAAGATTGAAAGAATCCGTCTGCTTCTTCAATCCAATCTCTCCACTATTGTGAGCATAAACGACTGTTCCGCTTATGAGATCCTCTTGAGTGAATTTTTTAGAGGGTATTCCATCCACTAAAATGCTACCCAGCTTAGGGGGGTCCTCTACAATAAAAGTTAATGCCAGTTCATCAGTATCCTCATCTGTGCCCTGGATAAGAGAAGTAGTTATTTCAGTAGCACTATTTTCCAGAACATCAATAAAGGCCCCCAAAAGTCCATTACTACCAGGGACCATGATGCTGGGACGTTCATCATCAACTGGTTGAACAGCAATTTTAACTGTGATTGGTACTTGATGAACTTCATCACTTACTTCTAATTGAAAGGAATCACTTCTGTACTCATCACCATTATGCTGATAAGATATGCGACCATTAGCAACGTCATCTAAAAGAAAAGATTCACCCTGTACCATTAATGCCTCCTCCAGGTAGCGCAGGTAGCCATGTTGAGGTGCTTCAGTTAAAGTGAAGACAATTCGGTCAGTGTCTGTATCTTTATCAGTAGCATCTAGTTGCATGGTGGTGAGAAAGAAGGTGTGCCCCTCAAAAACTGTGAAACCAGCATTGGTTATTTGTGGGGGCTGATTATTCACTGGCTGCAAGAAGAAAGTGAAAATACCTAGCACGGAATTACCAGCTGCATCTTCTACGCTGTAAGTGAATTGTGCTATTCTTGGAGTAATGCCAAGTTCTTGGTCTGGTGGTCTATAGGCCACTTTATGATGATTTATCTGTGCTTGAGTGAAATGGGTAATAGGCACTAGAGGGCTGTCAGTCAATACAATTTCACCTGCCAAAACAGGGTGATTTTCGTCAATATCAGTTGGTGATGTAAGCACTGTATATTTCAGCTCTCTGTCATCTGTGTCCAAATCAGTATAACACAGATAATGCTTCGTGAAATGTGTCACCTGGTATTCCAGGACAGTCATCTGTAAAGTTGTCCCTGGGTATAGTTCTGGAGATAGGTTATCTACTGGCTGTATCTTGATGATAAATACCTGTTCTTCAGATTGATTTGGAGGGTCATTATCATCTTGGAGATAGAATACAAACTGGTCCATCACTACATTGGTGCTATGAGGTCCAATATGTCTGTAGAACAACTTTCCATGTAGGATATCCTCTTGCAGCCATTCAGTCACTACCTTCTCATATATAGCCTCACTGTCTATAAAATGCCAGGAGGATGGATCACTATGATCTTCTTCTATCTCTTCCTTTTTTTCATAGGATGATGGAACTTCTTCCTGACGCAATAGAAGCTCACCAAAATGTTTCCGGATAGGTATATCTGAAGACTTTTCAACCTCCTTAACAACAAATCGAATAGTTGAGTCATCAGAATCTATATCAGTAGCACTGAGAACAAAGGGTGAGATCTGCACTATCTGGTGCTCACTTAGGACCAAGCCAGTGTTGGCATTAAGGAGTGGTGGTTGATCATCATCAGGGGCAATTGTAATTGGATAAAAAAACTCCACCTGGTGTTGTCCATCGTTCATGCGGAAGATAATGTTATCACTGAAACTGTGCTCACTGCCATCATGCTGGTAGATCACCTGTCCAGCTTCCAACTCTGCTGCAGTAAAAAAATGACGACCAGGAGACGCACCCAAAACTCTCAGTTCCCCATGTTTTAGACCTCTTGTAACCCAAATCTTCACTTCGTCTAAGTTGTCCTCATCACTGATTACAAGATTGTCAGAAAGCGGCCTTGACTGGCCTTCAAAAAGCATCATCTGAGGGCCGGCAATTCGATTAAAGACAGCCACCGGAGCCAAAGTGTTCATAGGCTTCACCACCACCACGAAGGCAAAGGGGTCTGAAGAGGCACCCTCAGGGTCCAACACCTCCATCTCAAGCTGGAAGAGGCGCTCATGGTCTGAGTCCACTGTAGGAGGTTGGTAGGCAATCTTCAGCTCCCTCAACTCCCGCTGCGTGAAAGACGTGAGTGGCCGACTAGGATCATCCGTACTTATCAAGTAACCAGTTGTCACGTCCTGCCCTCCAGCACTGAGCCAGAGAGAGGTGAGATTAAATAGCAGCAGATCTGCCGGGCTCTCCAAGTCCTCCGCCGCCAACATGTCAGGGGTGATGGCGGTAAGCACAAACTGGTCCACCTCCATCATGAGCAAAGCCACAAAGCTGGGCTTGGGGGGCGTGTTCTCAGCGCCCTCCCGGATCCGAACCACCAGCTGAAAGTATTCCTGCTGGCTTAGGCTGTCGGGAGAGCCGCTGTCCTCCAGCACTTCCACCCGCATCGGGATGTGGTCGCGGTTGGGCGAGGGCGTGGGAGCCGTGTGCTGGTAGCGGATGCCCTCGCTCAGGAAGCGGCGGCACTCGTTGCTGTAGCCCGGCGGCAGGGGGAGGCCGCGGGCGTCGATCAAGCGCCCGTAGGAAGGCAGGTGGTTGCCGCTGCTGGGCGCGTGAGGGAGGGCTGTGAGGCGGCAGTGGCGACGGCCGGCTTCTCCCTCCTCGGCGAAGGCCAGCACTTTGGCGTCCAGGGGCTGGCTGAAGCCCCGCAGCTTCTCCACGGCGAGCGGCAGGTGGCGGCTGAGGAGGCGCAGCTGCTGCGACAATACCTCGGCCTCCAGCGCGAAAGGCACCACGAACGTGCGACCGGGGGAGTCGTAGCGGAGCTGGAGGCTGAGGCGGTCGCGGCCGGGGCTGCGAGACCCGTAGTGGGTGTAGGTAACCTCTCCGGGGCCGAAATCGCAGGGGAAGCGTTGTGGGGAGAGCGCCCCCGGGCGGTGAGGCGCAGGCCCGCTCTCCAAGACGGTCACGCTACACTTGTCGCCCGGCTGCACGCGGATGACCAGGTCGCGGACGGGGTCCAGGGAGACGGAGCGGCCGAAAGGCACGCGCAGTCCGCGGTTGGCCACCAAGATCCCCGCGGCGGCCCCGTCCAGAGCGTCCGGTTCCGCCGGCTGAAGGAGAAGCGACGGCCCGGATGAGTTCGGCTGCGGCTGGGTGGTCCCGAGCGCAGCCAGAAGGGAGAGCAGGAGCAGCGCCGCCTCGGAGGGCGCCCGGCGGCGGCGAAGGTGCCTAGGCGGTTCGGCCATGCCGCCTCTTTTGCTGCCTCTTTCTCTCTCTCTTTCCCCCCGGCGTGGGGCGGTGAGCGCGAGTTCCGACGGACTTTGGGACCCGGGGACGGCAGGGCGGACGACCAGGTGCCGGAGCCAGGCTTCTGTGCTGCTCCGGAGCGGGGCTCTCTGGGACTCGGCCACTGCCTGCCGCAGGTACTCGAGGGGAGGGGAGGAGAGGGAGCGGGGTGGGAGCTGGCAGCCCCTCGCACCGCCCAGGAACTGCCTCCCCCTCCCCGGCCCACCCAAGAACCGAGGCTTCGTTTCTCCGCTGCTCGAAGCAGCCCCCGAAAGGCGGCAGGGGGGGAAGACCCTCCTCCGACCTCGCTTGCAAGGAGGGCAGAGCTTATGGCTCCGAGGCTAGGATCCCGTTTGCAGCGAAGAGAAGACGGTTCCGTCTCCAGCAATCTTTGCCTCCGGGGCACCGGTTTTTAAGGCGCGAAAGAGCAGCGCTAGGGTGACACTGCGTCTCTGTCCCTTGCAGGTGGCTGCTGCCTTTGCTCCCGCGGGTGAGAGAGCAACGAGGAGCTGAGGCCCGGTCCAGCAAAGGCGGTAAAAATGTTCTCTTGCACTTCTCCGAGGCGCTTTGCTGCTGCTGCTGCTGCAACACAGTCTCTCTCCTCTCCTCTTGGAAGTTATCAGGGATGCGTTCGGCTTAGGGTGCATTCTGATTCAGGCAGAATGTGTTGTGTTGCATCCTTGGTGAACCCAACTTTTTCTTCCATTAGATCAGACAGGAATTCTAAACCAGAATCCCTGGGGATTGTCAAATCCATTCATTCTCATCAAGAATGTTTTTTTTTTTGGGGGGGGGGGGATACGAAGACAACATATTTGCCAAATTCATAAGAGTCTGACAATTCTGATAAAAACAAGCTGTCCTTTAATGTTAGGAACTCACAGATTCCTCCTTTTGAGAGGAATCACATATGCCAGGCTGGCAGGTGCCCTTTGCTGATCCAAGCTTGTATGGAGGTCTTCCTGATTGTGAAGCAAATAAAGTGGACTGACTAAAGCAAGGGTGGGAAGTACAGCTTTAGAGAGGAAGTTTAGGCCTCCTGCTAACGTTTGAGTTTGCTAATTATACATTTTGCAGTGGTGCAGAATCTTTAAATCAGATATTTATATATATATCTCATTGGCCTGTGAACTGCTAGTATGTAAATGCTCTTATTTTACAATCATGCAGACTGACTTGGGAATTAGCCCTGTTATATTACAAACAAATTTAGGTGCCTTGTACTATTGCATTTGTCAGTGCATCTATTTAAAGTCTCAAAAGATTTTTAGAAGCTGGAAAGATTTATGGGAATAAAAGTACATTCCTTAGGCCATATAAGTTAATTTATACATTTATAAACTAACACAAACCTCTCACAACAATAAAAATTAGAAAAGTAAAGAAATTATGTAAAACAAACAACACATCATCCACCCAATGCTGAAGTTTAATAATAATTGCAACAACATATATACAGTACTCATCGAAAACTGGCTCATCTACCATCCATGGTATTTCCAGGTTCCCTATATTTTTGTACTTTGTGCCCTCACTATCCTTTTTTACCACTTCTAGTATTGCTGGAGTAGTTGCTTCCCAACTTCCATTATAGTGATTTCAAAACTGGGAGAAATTGGGAGCTTCAGATGATAAGTTTGAACGTTGCTCGTAAGAGATTTTAAAAATTGAGTTTAATTTTATACTTTTGCAAAGATTTAAAGAAACTTTTAAGATGTGTGTGTATTGTCTGCTAAGATCTTTGCATCTAGAGATACCAAATAAAAGATGAGAGAAATTGCAATCTTCTTGTCTCAGTTTAATAATGCAACAATTAAAGGGTTAGAAATGAAATTTCTGAATGGGGTTCTAAAATATTTATATGCTTTGTGTAATAAGATATTGTGGCAATATATGCCCTACAGTTGCTGTATAAGGTTTCCCCTTGTCTCATAATTTTGAACTATATATACTACTTAGACAACTCAATACAACAGCCTACAAAGGGTCACTACACACTCTGTCATTCATAGAAGTCGAGGGTAGAATGCATGTGGCCCACAATTTTGCCTCCTGAAAAGCAAAATTACTCAAAAAATACTGGCATGATTTTTGCTACTTTATTAAAACAGGTGCATTAAGACTTTGCCAGGTGAACGCACATAATCTGCACTGAGCCTCTCCTAAAGCCTCTTTCCCCAAGAGGGCTAAAAAGGCCATCCTTGCCCATTAAAGATCTCATAAGAATTATCAAAATCTTAAAGAGATTTTGCATCAAAATGACATGTGATGAAACCTAACCAACTGAGATGGGGGAAACCTAACCAACTGGGATGCTGATCAGTTGTATAAGATTAATTACTGAACAAATTTATATTTATTTCTATGCCCTTTCCATTTCTCATTTGTATGACTTTGCATGAAGTAATTCAGCAGCAGAGAAATTAAAATTCTCACCTACTGCTCATTTATGTTAATTTTATTTACTGAGTATCCTGTGAAATCCCTGTTACAACTAAACTATTCTGTCATATTGCTAAAAAAAATTCAAAGCATTTAAATACTTACAATAATTGTTTTACTTTTGCTTGACCAGGCAGTCTCTTGAAGGGTTATTAACTTAAAATACAACAAAGGAATGGCTTACTTATTAGATAAATTCTTATTTATAGGGATTGCCAATCAGCATGAATAAACTTCAGCATTCCAAAGCACGTTTCTTAATAAATTACCACTACTATTTGAACAAAGTACTGAAAGATGTTTATTTGAAAATCGTCCTTGATCTGAAATTTTGGAAATGAAAGAATTATTGTCGTTTTAGCAATTCATTGGATTTTGATTATATTTTTAAAAGTACGCTTGAAAAAATAGCAAGATTATGATTATAGTTTTCTCTGACAAACCAAGTTTTATAGCAGCAACAGTAAAAACATTGTAGGTTATATTTTTAGCCGAGCATGAATAATATATGTAATATATATGTATGTATGAATGAGTTTATTCCCCTCCATTTCCAGTTAATGTGAAATTGATTTCTATTACCTTAGTAAATATTACTTTGACTATGAAAACCATGTTGTACACAAATTAACCTTTAGGTGGTAAGTTGAGTAGTCTATTGCGGTGTCCCTTTGATGTATCTAAGAGCTGATATTTCAGAGTAGATTACCATGGTAATTACGAACTGCAGGCCATGTGAACAGAAAGGTCTTTCACAAAACCTGATTTATGGTAATGCACCATCCCGTCACACTATGATCCTTTATTCACAGTCTCATCAAAAACAGGCATCAGGATGACAGATTGAAATGGCTATGAATGTATTGAGATATTTACTATATAAGCAGATATTTGATTCTTTATTTAACTTGGACAAATTGCAGGAAGATTTTTATGAGACTGAAACTAACTTAATCTTAAGGAAATTCAGGTTGTATAATGAAATTGTTTTTTTCATGTAATTTGTAATCATATACCTGCATATGAATGGATAATAAATGCATACAATTACAGGCAGTCCTCGACTTACCAGCACAATTGAGTCCAACAGTTCTGTTGATAAATGAGACATCTGTTAAGTGAGTTTTGTTCCATTTTCTTGCCACATTTCTTACGTAAATATTTTGTTACATTAGTAATGTGGTTGTTAAGTGAATCTGGCTTCCCCATTGACTTTGCTTGCCAGAAGGTTGCAAAAGATAATCATATGACCCTGGGACATTGCAACCGTCATAAATGTGAGTTAGTTGCCAACTGTCTGAATTTTGATCACATGACCATGGGGATGCTGCAATGATCTTAACTGTGATAAATGGTCATAAGTCACTTTTTTCCATGCTGGTGTAACTTTGAAAGGTCACTAAATGAACTGTTGTAAGTCAAGGACTATCTTATTGAAATATAATGCTTTTTAAATCATTCAGCATTAAAAGAGCAATTATAAATACAAAATAAAGTTCACTCCCCCCCCAAATTATAAAAATACTGCTAAGAAAATGGTGTCTGTTATTTATTTTATTATTTCCACAACTATGTTTTCACAACTTATAATTCATTATTAAATCCATAATTATGAAATTAACTCAGCTGTTGGTTTGTACAACAATGAAGCTCCAGCAAATCACAGTGGCTGGATGTCTACAATACACTGGGCCACAAACAAGATAACCATATTTTAGCTTAGTAACATAGCAACTCTGTTGATATTTGGTTTCCTTCCAACAATGGGAGTGTTTCTTCCACCAATGGAGTTCAGTGGGAGATACAGTACTGCAGGAGTAGGAAAGATGTCATTTAATTACTTGGCTTCTGTCTGACTGAATTATTTCTGCAGTTCTGACTGTCATCTCTAGTGGTGTTGTGCATGTCCCATAGTACTCCAAAGCAATGGTGGAAGAATACAGAACAGCGAAACAGACATCGGAAAGTGATATCAATCTCTGTTCTACCAGTGAAATGCTTTTTGGATTAGAAGCAGTGCATGGATAGAAGATATTTGTAGGAGGCGGATCATAAATTCAACTGTATTATCTTACATAAGGATAATGCAAACCTTTTTTAAGCTGCTCTAGTAAATTGTTGGATTTGATTTAAGTTCAAAATTCCTATGCCTGCAATTTACATACAAAAAAGCATTCTTTGAAAGACACTGCAGATATGAAAGGTCAATTGAAACATTCACAATGACAAGTGGCAAAGAATTAGAACATGGCAATAGAATTCACAGCCTGTTTGTTCTCTGCAAGTCTTAGCTGCAGAAAGTGTAATCTTCAAAACCAAGGGAACCCTATGTTCTCTCCTGTTACATGATGACCTACAGGAAATGGATCATCAATTTCTTGTTGGTATAAGCAAGGGGAAGTCTGCAGTATAGTCTTTATTAGCAGGATGATCAGGTTAAAGCCCACTGAAATCTACTGGGTAAGAAAAAATGCAGCTACAATATGTAATATGAGATACTAAAATATAACAGTTTATA